GGAAAAGGGCCAGTGTAGACAGCACAGTAGTGTTTTCCACAAAAAAGCCCTGATCGCGAAAATGATGACCGGGGCTTTTTTCCGGAAAAGCGTGTCTAGATTGGCCACGGATGCTTTTCCGGAAAAAGTGCTTTTCCGGAAAAGCATCCTGCCAATGTAGACGCGCTTTTTCCGGAAATACTTATAAGAGAAATCTGTTCCGTTTTAAGCATTTCCGGAAAAGGGTGCCAGTGTAAAAGTAGCCCCAGTGTCTGTAAGAACGCTGTCCCCTTTCTTTGACTCAGGTTTCCAGGCCAGAAGGGACCAGTCTGAGCTCCTGTGGGCCACAGAACTGCTCCCGAATCATTCCTAAAGCCCCGCTTTTAGAAACACGCCTAGCCTGGATCTTAACATGGCCGGTGATGGAGACCCCACCCCAGCCCTTGATGGCTTATCCCAATGGTTAGGGACCTTCACTGTTACAATGTAACACCTTATTTCCAGTGTGAATTAAGCTAGCTTCGACCTGTTAACCGATGAAAGGGTGTTGGGGGGGGGGGTAACCGCATTAAGGCTGATGCTGATATCTGGTCAATCCATAGCTCTTTAACTCGCTGGCGAGGATAATGCAGGCGACGCTATCCAAAGCCTTGCTACAGTCAAGGTCTATCACACCCGCCACTTTCCCCTTCTCACAGAGCCCGTTCCCTTGCCGTAGGAGGCAGCCAGCTCGGCCAGGCTGGACTTGCCCGCGGTGGCCCCAAGTCGGCTGTTCCTGTTCCCGTCCTCTCCTCCACGTGTTGCTCCAGGTCAGCTGATTCTCCACCCCCCAGACCTCTTCCAGTCATTGCGTCCCAGCATCCCTTGCTCCTGGAGGTTTGCCCGAGTCAGCAGCCGCTCAGCCTGAAGTGAGGGGGCTGCTGCTGGCACAGGGGCGGGAGGCGCTGTAGCCAGCGGTGTGCAGGTGAGATATGAGTGTGTTCTCCTGACCGTAAAGTCAGTGAGTCTGAGCCCAGCGGACCAAGCGACCCAGATCACTCTGTACCAGGGACCAGCTTCTTCCGTATGTCTCCCTCCCCCGGCCTCTGTGTCACCCGCACCCCTGATCCGCCAGGCCCTGGTTTCTTCCAGCTCATTGATAAAAACATTGCACAGCACAGGGCCAAGAGACAGTCCCTGTGGGTCCCCATGGGAAACCCACCCGCTCAGCGCTGAGCGTAGGGACGTGAACGGAGATCTCTCAGTCAGCCAGCAGTTAATCCAGTTAATGGGTGCCACGTTCATTTGATCTCTCTCTAGCTCCCATCCAGGCGCTTGGTGATGCGAGCTGGCAGGCAAAGCAAGTCCTGGGGTATTAGAGCACTGGCCGTCTCTCAACCGAAACTGGACTCTCCTCGGGAAAGTTAGCCAGTTCCTTCGACAGGCTCTGTTTCCCTCTGCGCTGCGCTGATTGGCATTAATTACACCCCCCTCCTTTCATTAGTCATTAATCGAGTCCGGCGTCAGTCACTGTATCACCTTGCCGGGATCCACGTCACCCACACTGGCCTAGAATTACCTGGGGCGCGCCATTTACCCTCTTCCAATAGGGGCACGGTAGCCTCCTTCCCGGCGTCTGGAGCGTCCTCGTCTTCCAAGACTTCTGGGGACGAATGTGTTCAGACTGACCAGCGCCCTGCTAGGTGCAGGGTTTCCCAGTCTCCCTCCCTCTCCGCCATCAGCTGCTGCTCCCTGGACTGAGCCACCCGCCCAATAATCGCTCTTGTGATGCTCTGCAGGGGCCTAATGACCCCAAGAGCCTGTCTGCAAGGGAGGGGGCCCTGGCCTGCCCCCCGTACCAGGCTGCTGCCCAGGGACCATAATGGAACCAAGGTCGGGGGGCCCATATCGTCCCTCTCCCCGGCACTCACTGCTCCCCAGAACCGGGGACTGCTTCCCTTTGTCTGGCCTTCGCCCACCTCCCTGGGCACATGGACCAGGGTAACTGGTCTCCCGCACTACCTTCTCCGGCCTTAAGGAACCCCTCGCGCTCTCCAGCCCTGGGAGCGTCTCAGCAGCCCCACGGCGTAAACTCCCCGTCACACCCCTTGGCTTTCTCCACTGGTGCGCTTTGCCCTTTGCCTGAACTGCAGCCATGGGATTCCGGACTCCTCCCGAGCTCTCAGCGGAGCCTCCAGCTCCCAGTCATGTACCGGCGAGGGATACGTCCAGGCACCACCGGGAGCCCCCTCCCCGCGTGAACCTCCCGGTGCCTCGCCTGCTCACACGCCCAGCGCCCCAACACTGCGCCCTGCGGAGTAGTTAAGAACTAGGAGCTGGAGCGGAACGTGGCCGTGGCCGACAGAGGCGGCGTTCTGCCGTGGAGCTGGGGTGGAGCTGGAGCCGGAGCCTGGCCCCTGGCCCAGGTACTGCCCCCCTCTGACTCCCGCCCCAAAGCCGTCGGGCTTCTCCCATGACCGCAAGGGCTAGGGACGCGCCGTAGGGTACCAAGCGCAGGCTAAGATTCTGCCGGAGCCGGAGCTCGGCGAAGGGCGCCCCTTCTCACCGCCAGACGGCGGGTACTCGTGCGCCTTGGCTGGGGCCCGCAAGCCCCCTTGTCTGCGCACGGCCTCCTGGGGCGCCAGGCTCTGCGGAGGGGTGGCGGGACTCGGCGGGACGTCCACGGCGCGCAGGGCATGGCAGGGAACGGGGGGAGGGATTTCTGGGGCTGCTGACGCGTCTCTGCTTGCTCCTAGGCTGGGCCGTGGGATGGGCAGCGCCAAGCAGCTCAGCGAGGAGCGACATCCGAAAACGCA